CGATTGAACTGCAGATCTGCGCTACTGCTGTTCTGGTTATGGTGAAGGCGTAATCGGATTCCGATAACGGCGTGGACGGAGGAGGAATCGCCTTTGCCGCCAGAGGACGGTTGCGATTTGATTTTGAACTCATGTGGGCGGCTCTGCTACGAGAGTCCTGAAACAAAAAACCCTAGATGTTCATTGGAAAGTTTTAGAGGCAGAGTGGGGGCTCGAACTCGTGCCGTTAAATTGCCGAAAGTAATAAACTGCAAACCAGTACGCTAGGAAATCTAATAGTACATTGTTTTTATTTTTTACATTATTTAATTAAAAAACAGGAGAGAGACGTTTACCTTGTACGAACTTGAGGTCGATAAATCTGCAAATCTAGAAATTTACTTCAGCCAATTGAATTTTCCCAAATTCTTTCTGTTTAAGAACTAAAAGAAATTGTGTAAGTATAACAATTTTTTTAAGAAAAACAAGTCACTCTAACAAAAGAGACACACACATCAAGATGTTTATCAGCGAGTGGAGGCGACCGCTCAATAAAGAGGATTTTATCTTAGGCAATTGCTCAATAAAAAGGATTCTATCATGAAAATGCAATGTAATGAAAAACGATGTGGACTATGTATATGGTAACTTATTAGGGTTTACGTAACCCATGCTGGATTAATCGTATTATGGGCCGGAGATCTGAACCTATTTGAAATGGCCCATTTCTACTAAAAGGGTGAGAAAGAAATAGAGGTATGACTGGCATAATATTTACGATTGAATTAAAAAATATATAGGGGTTGGACAATTTGTCAAAGAAAATACTCGAACAAGAAATCGAATTGAGACAAATACCGATCAAATTGAACGTATTAAGCATAAACAACTTCTTGTTACTGATCCCGACATATGAGGGTTTCGTTCAACTACAAGCATCGTGAATCAAGGGGAAAATGAAATCATATGTTGGAAGGTGAATTGAATGGAGTTCAAGTTTTTCATTTCCTAAAGTAAAATTATGATTTTACATTTAAAGGAAGTCTTAGGAGTCTACTTTAGCGATGAACTCAAATATGCAAAATATCACGATCCAACTCGTCATGAGAGACACTCACCCTAAACCCCTATGGTGGGAGGACCACTATCTAATATCATTTAAAACGTTTAACAACATAAGGAAATTGTTTTCAAAAATTTCAAACAAGTTTCATAAAAAAAAGTCATTGTTACCAGTCACTCGCGGATAACCCCCTTAAAAACTGAAAGTCATGTACCAAAACATCTCTCTAGTCTAGAAATGAGGATTCAACCTCGAACAAAGCAATCTAAGTCTGGAAATGGACCTGAGAGAGAAGAGAAATCCATAGCATCCCAAAAGAAGCAACTCACAGTTGAATTCGGGAAACGCGAATGTCAGAATTAGATCACAAAGCAACCGTCAGACTATACTTTATACTCAACAACAATAGATCAAGTACAACATCAGTACACAAAATTCACAGTGTACTAATAGAATCATCTATCGGCTCCAAATATACGAAATATGAAAAGCAACCACAACTTAGTAAAATAGATAACAAATGTGACAGCATGACAAACAACAATACAACAAATCAATTTGGTTCATTCACGAAACCCACACACAAACAATCAATGTATCAGGCGTGGTACCTTAGTCAACCGTTAAAATGTACCGACATGGTACTCGAGCCAACTATATATATGAATATTCCTTATTAGGCGTGGTACCTGAGCCAACTATTAGTGTAACAACCCGGAAAACTAGTAAGACCAAGCTAGAGTCTAATGGAAACGAATAGGTGAAACTAGAGCCTAACTTGTGTGTCTTTGAGTTGTCATGAGGTTTTGAGGTTGTAAAATGATGTCCTGAGCCAAGGTTGAGGTGTTTTGGTGTTAGACGTCAAGGTACGACCCCCCAAAGACCAACCAAGGGTACTTGAAGGGGACCCTAAAGCCTAAACCCCAAGGCTGCCTAAGTTCACAAAAAACAGTCAAATAGGTGACCTACGGATGGCCATCTACGACGAGTAGATTGATTCACTCCCCGTAGGTCAAGGCCTGCACCAGGCCTGCAAAGCTAAGCCTCAGGTGCAAACCACGGAGGTGATTGACGTCCAGTAGCTCCACCTACGGTCCGTAGGTGGAGGGGCGTAGATGCTGCCAGTTTTTAAGATTTTTAGTTTTAGTTAGATGTTTGGTAATTTATTAGGGGTTAAGGGAGGTCGGTTAGTTAGTAAATTAATCACCTATATAAGCTAATAAGACCCTAAACTAAGTCATTAATTCATTATATCCCAAGACCCCAAATCAAAACCCAACTACTTTCCCCTCCAAAAATCTTCTCTCTAGAAACTCCATTGAAGACCAACAAAAGGGATCAAGCTAGGGAGTGGAGATGGAGGATTCTTCATCTTAATTTTATGGGATTCTATGTCTAAGGTATGGGTGTTTTTCATCCTTGGGAAGCTATCACCCAAGGAGCCCTTTCAAAAGCTTTTAACTTAATTCTAGAAAACTCAATTAGCTGGGGTTTCAACTCAACTCCACAGATTCTTTTCAAAGTCACTTTTAAAGGCTGAATTATGTTTGTTTATGAATAGAAGACTGATTTTATATGATTTTAACTCAAATTCTTCAAGAATCCATGAGACCCCAAATCCTAGCTATTGTTCTTCTTTACATTATGAGATGGTTTTGCAAGTTGATCCAATTGATTGGATGTGAGTTAATTATGATGTAATTGCATGATATAAGTATGATTCTACATGTATATTTGATTAACCTATGATTCTAAGGTGAATCGATGAGGCCTAGGGCTATGTCATGAAAAAGGCAAATTGTGGGTTTAGATGTAACCTTCTAAGAAAGGTGAACTTCTTGATGAATTGCCTTAGATTAGATCACCTAGACATGAATTGATGATAAGTAAAGCTTGTAGACATGAACTAACTTGATTAGGGATTATATGAATGATCATGTTTGTGTAGTGTTGGGATTGAGGTTATATGTTCCTATATGACTATAATTGATCAATAATGAGGCATGTGGTTAGGTTACCTTGAGAACTAGGATTACTTAATAATCATGTGAGGCATTGCTTGAGATCACGGCTTGTAATATGAAGATGACTCCTAGGGCTTAAAGGTCAAAAGCTTAAATGAATAAGCTAAGGGTGTTAAGGCTCCAAGAAGGAAGTAATTATGTATGTTGAATTGTGTATAGCACTATTGTGAGAAGACTTCATCTACATGACCTCTAATATGAGTATATGAGTTTATGCATGGGATGAATGTTGTACTTGGGTTATGACTATAACTATGTTTCATGTATTGAATGCTAGATGTGTTAACTCAATATGACAGGTCTCCTTTACCGGGGGGTTCCCACAGAGAAGTCTTGCTCTGGCCTTTTCTATCTCGTGTGCAAGATATAGTGTATGACCTGCAACTGGGTACACTAGAAGTTTTCCTTCATCTTTGGGAATCAAGTCATTCAATGAATGAAAAGTGAAAAACCTGTAGATAAATGCTTTATACAGATGACGATAAGACTTTCCAATCAGTAGCTGGGCTAGGGCTTATTCTGATTCACTTCCGCCGTTCTCGATTCTGATTGAACTAGGGAGGATCGGTATTGCTGGGGGAGATTGTCTTTTTCTTTGCCTTTCAAGATATTGCGTATAAAGAGAAAGATAGCCAGTCCTCTTAGGCGGCCGAGAGTGTTATGTAAAAAGGACCAAAGAGGGCTACAAGCAACCTATTTCATACCCTTTTCGTCGTACTTATGAGGTGTATGTATGATTATGATATTATATGCTTATCTATGAACACTTTGATTATAATGTGTCCATTGTGATAATGTTGTTGTTATATTAATGGAAGGACAATTATACACACACTTCATGCATAAATAAGATTATGAGGTATTTGTGGTGTCAATTGAAAGGCTTGTTCTCATATGCACCTTTACATTCTATTATGCATGAAATGTACACGACTATGATGATCCACTTGAAAGGTAGAGGTGTTAGTTATTGTGTATATTGTGGTATTGATGCGAGACCCTTCTTTCCTAACCTTACATATGGCTATGTACGATATGATATGACTATGTATGATATGTTATGAGTATGATAGTATTGTTGTGTTAAATGAAAGGCCATTCTCATGAACACACTACGAATACAATGTGAAAAGTTTATTCACATGTTGATGATTCTAAAGTGAAAGGTCATTCTCACTTAATGAATCACTACAACATTTTAGGCTTACGGGTACACTAAATCTAGACAACGCTTGTAAAGTGTTGCCTAAAATATTTTTGGTTACACTTTTAAAGCGTAAGCCCAAATTTTTGACTTTTGGCTTCGATAATATTGACAACACTTGTATAGTGTACTCTTTAATGGCATAGGCTACACTTTATAAGCGTTGTTTACATTTTGATATAATTGGCAACAAGTATTTACATATATGGCCACACTTTTAAAGTATACTATTTTTACAATTGTAAAAACAACACATTACAAGTGTGACCTTAAATTTTTCACTAAAATAATATATTCCCTCCAACATTTTCCAGAGCCAGCTAACATTTTTATTTGGGAATAAAATAAGTCATAAAGTATAAAATTCCAGGGTTCAAATCTAAAACTTTTTGAAGAAAAAACGCTCAGCTCTCAGCTCATTGAAGAAATCCCCAATTTCATGAAGAAAGAACGCTCGGCTCATCTCTCATTGAAGCTCCAAATCTGAAAATTTTCATAAAGCAAAACTACAAATTTTTGTGAGGTATTCCTTCATCAATGCATAAACTACAAATTTTTGTCAAAGCAAATTATCGAATGGCAAAATTTCATTGTTCATCCCAAACATTCAAAACCTGATGATTTTTTGATTTTTTTCTTCAATAACAGAACAAACGCTTCAGTGAAGAAGATGATTTCTTAAATCTTCATTACATTGAAAATACTTTGTTGGAATAGAGTTTATCAAGTAAAAAAATTATTTTTAAAAGTAAAAATTTATGGTTTTTGAGTTTATTGCTTGCGGCGTGGTTACATATTTAGCTTTAGGGTTTTGATATTATTGTCTTTGTTGATGGGATTTTTTTAATTTTTGGAAGTATAGCTCGTAGTTCTATTACTTACATTAGTTGATTCTTTGCCCTGTGGGATTCATGGTTGTAACTCCAGCGTATATACAGAGATTGTTACTGGTCGTTAATGGAGGAAGTAAAGCTCAAGCATAGAGAGTATTGTTGGATGTTTGGAATGAGTGTTTTTCAGGAAGATGAGAATAAGAGTAATAAGGATGGTACTCTAGGAATTGGAGAGAACAACGGGAATGCGGTCATCAGTAATACGTGTGGGGTTCATGGCTGTAAGTCGAAGGCAATGGCGCTTACGAGGTTCTGTCATATGTATATATTGTCAGATTCCAAGCAAAAGTTGTACAAGGCTTGCAGTTTTGTCATTAAAAGGTATTTATCTTTTCTTCACATTTCATACATTTAAGTTTTAGTATTTTACACAATCTTAAGCTTTATGAAGAAATATAACTTTTTGTATGTTTGTGACTCTCAATTCGGTATGATTATCCTGCCTTAGAATATCCAACACTACATGTTTTACCCTTGCTATTAGGTTATCCTGATTCCTGAGTATAGTTACTATGCAAAATCTGCAGATAGTGGAAAAGGTTACTTCTTGTGTGGGTATGCACGCGTGAACTATCTTTTTTGAAGTGTAATTTGTGTCTCAAAGATGCGTCCTTTCTGAATTGTTTCTGAAGCAGAATGTATATGCTCGCGCCCAATTTGTTTTATTGTTTGGTATAAAGCTGGTTATTTTGCTAACGTATGACAAAAAGATATCATATTTTTTCCTCAAACGGAACTTTGCCAATTAGTTTCAAGTTCTTGTTGTTCTTTTTTATTTTTCCTATTTTATAAAGGTTGTTAGTTTTTCTAGAGTCTTTTGTGAGGATTTTCTGATACATTTTACCCTTGTGCAACGATTGTTCTTGCACCTAGCAAGCAGAACATATGTGTGTGAGAGAATATGGTTCTGGAGGGCTATAAGCTAAAGTAAAAGCAGGTGTATATCATTTTAATGTTTTATGATCATTGGACTTCACTTCCCCAGCAACTACGCTTTTGAATTGTACCCTGCAATTGTTAACTTTCTAACGTCATGGTATAGTTCGTGTGGGATCTAGTTCTGATTCTTACAGTTTATCTTTTCCTGCTCTTCAGAGTTACGTGACTACCTTCTTGTTATTCATTGTTCCAGCCCATTTACGCTTTAACATTCCCCAAGATATTAACCATCAATATTTCCGCCAAATTCAACGCCTAAATCTGGCTTTGTATTGAATCCTAAAAGGTGTTGTAAATCCATGTGCTTTGTAGTAAGTAAAGAACAAACTTCCAACTGTGGTGATTGTTATTTTTTGTTAATTAAGAAATCTGTTGTTTCCAGCTCCAAAACATTGTGGATAATGGCTCTTCATCTGTCCTCCTCCGCTTAAATGCAAAACTTTATTAACCAGCCAACATTTGAATTCGCCACATACATCGAAGAGATATTCTACTTTGTGCTACTTCTGTTGTTGAACCAAAAACCCACTAGAACCTTCTTTGTTTCGTGTACTACCATTTATTCAAAAAAATGAACTTTCTCCCAGTGAGAAGGCACTTGACTTTCCAATTAAGAACAATTACCAGTTCATATCCATTAATCATCACAATAGTTATAACTTTGTGGATGCACCTTTTTCTCAAAATAAAAATTGTACATATGTACCTAAAACATCTTATCTTATCCTCCCTCTACTTCCTTCCACTTCTTCATTCAAGCTAGATTTTAGGTTTTTCAACTCATTTTTTCCAATTCCTCTGCTCTTTGGGGGTAGAAACTGGTTTACCAGGCCCCTTCTTATCTAGTTGTGATTTTCTCCGATCATTCTTCATCAACATTTCTATGGTTTATTTTTCAAACCCTTCGAAAGCCACCCTGTGTGTATTACTTAACTATAATAACCATGTTTAATGCTTCTGTCTTGATATCTTCTTGAGAAATTGGAAGCTGAATATTGACTGGTTCAGCCTCATGAATCTGTTGTAACTGCATTTTTTGTTCTGTCTCTTGTGTGTCATTGACTATTATGGTATCAGATTCCTCTCCTCAACATTTCTCGGGCTGACATTTAGTTCTTTTAAGGAAAAAGGAATTTGGTGCAGGTCATTTCCTACATGATTTGTTTATTATATGTGTTTTCAAGGCTGTTCAGACGGAATTAATGTTTTCTCCATTTGTTGATTGGTTGTATAGGGAGAAGGATGATTACGACGTGGTAAGGAAAGTTGGGAGAAGAAAGTATAGCGAGGTGTTTGAGGGAATTCACACTACTAATAATGAAAATGCATTATCAAAATCCTTAAGCTAGTGAAGAAAAAAAAAGTTGGTTGGTTTCCTTCTTTGCTTCTTTATATGTCTGTATCCAATGCTAGTTAATAAGCTTCTATCTGTTCTTGAAATTGATGCTTTTCAGAAATTTAAGGTTTTTCATTGTGAGGTCCTGACTTTCTATTGTTGGACGACTTCTATTGCAGTTTGAGGGATAAGAACAGTTCATTTGCTTGTGCGTTATATGAGTGTAAACTATAGTAGACTCATTTTTTGGTAAATAATGAAATATAGTACTCACTTAAGATGTTGGAATCAGCTTATATTAGAAAGAAAGACATGATTGAGATTTTAAAGATGTGGTCTACCACTCAAACTTGGAAACCAAACAGTAGGTGCACTGGAATGATTAGAAATAAATTTTGAGGATTATTTTTCTACATGCATGTAGATCTTTTAGTTGCTTCTCAAAGCTGTAGTCCTTTCCCTAAGTTAGCTTTCGTGAACTTACTGCAGACTTAACTTTTTTTCCTTGTAGTTGCGCGAACTAACTAGGTAATATCTTCTTAGAGACATCCCCTTTTACTCGACATGATTTACATCATCCACCACTTTCATCTAGAAGTATTATCATCACTCAGTCACATGTTTTTGCTAAGATTTGGAGAGGCACCCTCTTTTAGTCTTTTACACCGTAATAGATGTTGAATACAAGTAGTTAAAGGATTAATCTTTTCTCGTGTTGTATTTTGGTTTACAGGTTTTAGTTTTTGTTATGTTCCATATGTGAAGTAAGTTTGGCTTAATATAGAAAGTGTAGGAGACAACAATTTATTTTCTTCGTTATTTGGTTTCTGTGATAGTGGGAGGTAGGAGATACCCTGGAATTATCAAGGTGCACACAAACTAGCCTCAGTACCGTTGTAAAAAAGAAGAAGAAATTGATCCAACTAGATAAGAGAAGCATCAAAAATCTTAACAAAAACTCGTAAAACCTCATTTTCTAAGATGAACAAAACCAGAACTAACAACAATATCAGTCGATGATATTCTAATTGGACATTAATATACCACAACACACAACTACACCTCAATCCTAAACAAGTTGGGGTTGACTATAGGAACTCCAAGACCTTATAAATCTTTCAAGAGAACTTCCTTCAATGTTATTTTAGGTCTCCACTCACCATGATTTCACACCTAGGGACTGGAGCCTCTTGAGGTTTGATGACATGCCCAAACAATCTCACAGTGTGTGCTACTTGCACCTTCTGGAGCTTAATTTACCACACTCATTATTGCAGTATCCTTGTTGTCATATTACTACATCCATAAATATTTTTTTGGTTTTTTTCCGCCAAACTTGTTAAACGTATAGAAGCCTTGTTGATGTTCTTCAAATTGGGAAGTCATTGTGTCTATGATCCTAAGTAGTTTCTTATAATGTTCAAGTTTTTAAAAGGGTTTGTGATTTCGTAGTGCTATGTTTCTGAGCGACGTAATGTATTATTTATATTCTTCAAGCTCAATCAGATATCTCCACGGTTCGACTTTCTTTATCTTTCATTCTTTAGCCAAATGAGGTTTTTCATGTGTATCTCTTAACTTTTATGTTGTGTTAAGTTAGTGTAGTAACTCTTTATTACTTATAAGTGATAGACCATCATATATATGCAAGTTATATGTGCATTTACCTTTTTGTTGGCACTTTGAATCATTCTCTTTTATTTAATATAGTATATATTTGCACATTTATTTAACTCTGGTACTTATCTGTTATTGTCGCTTACAGCAGATCAAGCGTGAGATTAAGATACTGCAGAATCTTTGTGGTGGACCTAATATTTTAAAGTTACTCGATATTGTCAGAGATAAGCAGTCGAAGACCCCAAGTCTTATATTTGAATATGTGAATAACACAGATTTTAAAGTGCTTTATCTAACTCTTTCTGACTTTGACGTTAGATATTACATCTATGAGATTTTAAAGTGATATTATTATACTATATTTTTCCATTCACATGTGAATCAATGGAACAGTGTTTATGGTAACAAAGGGAGCACAGATCAACATGCGTAAGTTTAAATTGTACTTTTCTCTCTTCTGGAACCTCTCAACTGTATTTTTCTCAACGTTGTCTAGTTGTTCTTGTTGGCTGTTGGTTTGATCCTGCACAACAAGATCATTATAGTTGTTGATTTGTGTGTGTAGTTGTGGCTCCAACCGTCAATCCTTGCTTGGTAGTGATAATAGGAGTCGCAAGGTCAATAGGGATATCATTTTTAGCCTGATTTTGTCTTAGTCGAGCAGCAAACGATTGGATAATAGTGTAGGGAGCTGGTTCAGGGACTATGTCCTTATTAGCCTTTTTCTGGGGATTTGGAGTAGTTTGATCAATGCGAGTAGGCACCTGAATCATCATGTTTCTATCGTTTTATAAATTTGGAACATATTTACCAAAGTTGTTAAAGTGTCTTTGGATTTTTATCCTGTTGCACCTGTTCTTTGGCCTGAAGTGTACTTGGAGTTGGCATTGATCTTGTGTGATTGTGACTATGTTTTGCGAGAATTAGGTGTGTCATCTTCCCCTATTTCCACCTTGAGAATTGGAGTTCAGGCAGTATCGGAAGGCTTAAACATGATCATTGCTTGCATTCAAAGTCAACTTTAAAGAGAATTTGACTCTGTTTTGCGAGAATTAGGTGTGTTATTTGCGAGAATACAAGCACTGATCGAGTTTAAACCTTTGTAAGAGCTTATTTTGTTTATGAGGAATCAGAAGATGAAAACATGAATGGTTCTTAGCTCTTATATATAAGTACTATATTGACTTAGAAGGCATGAATGGTTATTAGCTCAAGATCTGTTATGTGTCTAAATTGATTATATATATGTGATTTCCATGTTTTAGTCCTTAGAATATGCGATTTCCATGTTTTAGTCAAAACTGAAAGCACATCCATGTGATTTCCATGTTTTAGTCCTTAGAATATGCGATTTCCATGTTTTAGTCAAAACTGAAAGCACATCCATGTGATTTCCATGTTTTAGTCCTTAGAATATGCGATTTCCATGTTTTAGTCAAAACTGAAAGCACATCCATGTGATTTCCATGTTTTAGTCCTTAGAATATGCGATTTCCATGTTTTAGTCAAAACTGAAAGCACATCCATGTGATTTCCATGTTTTAGTCCTTAGAATATGCGATTTCCATGTTTTAGTCAAAACTGAAAGCACATCCATGTGATTTCCATGTTTTAGTCCTTAGAATATGCGATTTCCATGTTTTAGTCAAAACTGAAAGCACATCCATGTGATTTCCATGTTTTAGTCCTTAGAATATGCGATTTCCATGTTTTAGTCAAAACTGAAAGCACATCCATGTGATTTCCATGTTTTAGTCCTTAGAATATGCGATTTCCATGTTTTAGTCAAAACTGAAAGCACATCCATGTGATTTCCATGTTTTAGTCCTTAGAATATGCGATTTCCATGTTTTAGTCAAAACTGAAAGCACATCCATGTGATTTCCATGTTTTAGTCCTTAGAATATGCGATTTCCATGTTTTAGTCAAAACTGAAAGCACATCCATGTGATTTCCATGTTTTAGTCCTTAGAATATGCGATTTCCATGTTTTAGTCAAAACTGAAAGCACATCCATGTGATTTCCATGTTTTAGTCCTTAGAATATGCGATTTCCATGTTTTAGTCAAAACTGAAAGCACATCCATGTGATTTCCATGTTTTAGTCCTTAGAATATGCGATTTCCATGTTTTAGTCAAAACTGAAAGCACATCCATGTGATTTCCATGTTTTAGTCCTTAGAATATGCGATTTCCATGTTTTAGTCAAAACTGAAAGCACATCCATGTGATTTCCATGTTTTAGTCCTTAGAATATGCGATTTCCATGTTTTAGTCAAAACTGAAAGCACATCCATGTGATTTCCATGTTTTAGTCCTTAGAATATGTGATTTCCATTCGTTCACTGACCTGCAACTAGGTGGGAGCTTGTAATCCTGAGAACGGATGGATGGATCAAACATCAATTTATTAGTTGAATACACTGAATCTGCAATCTGCTAGAATAGACAGTGCTGCCTTAACTCAAAATTAATCTATACACAGTGCTGCAATCTGAACTCAAAAAATCTGCAATCTACTAGAATACACTGTGCTGCCTGAACTCAAAAAATCTGCAATTTGCACTCTTGAACTGCATGCTACAATCTAATTTATTGATCTATAACTGCTGCAATCTGATTTGTGTAGGGAAATTGAAGTGATCAAATTTGAAGGGTCGCCGCAAGTCAATTTGATCACATTGAAGTGGATGATGTAGAGTTTTTGAACTATTCTAAAAGTTTGAATACATTATATTTGATTTTGTGAAATATATTCATTGCTATAATATATTGAACTATTGTAAGAGTACTTTTTGAACTATTGTGTACACATATTTAGAATATTGCTTTATAAGTATGTGTATGTACACAAGACATACTATCTTTTGAAG